TGGTAGGCACCTTGCTGAGCCACTCACGGCCAGTCAGCACTTTTTTGTTTTTGTTTGTTTGTTTGTTTGTTTTTCGAGACAGGGTTTCTCTGTGTAGCCCTGGCTGTCCTGGAACTCACTCTGTAGACCAGGCTGACCTCGAACTCAGAAATCTGCCTGCCTCTGCCTCCCAAGTGCTAGGATTAAAGGCGTGTGCCACCACTGCCCGGCAAGTCAGCACTTTTTAACACGGCCCTTTACAAGTGTCACTTGGAGACTCTTTAGCTTTGTCCTTCCACTCTCACCCTTCTCCTTCCCCTCTGCAGGCATGGATCCAGGCTCTTGACTAAGATCACCCCACGTGGGAGCCTGGAGGACAGCAGGACTCAAGAGGACCAATCTTCTGACGCTCACACACCCCATGGCCTATATCTGAAATGTTGCTGCAGAATTAAGCCCATGGGAAGAGGCCCTCCCACATCTGAGTTCAGGAATTAACGAGAGGGATGGTCAAGTCTGCAAGAATTCTGTCTGCAGTGCAACTCCTGGCATGTGTTCTACAAAGAAACTGCCCAAGAATTCATGCCCTAAAGAGCATAAACCCAGCCCCCGACCCCAGCACCTCTGCCCATCTTCAGAAAGTGAATCCTAGAAGATGACTCTTCCAGCAGCTCCCCCACCTCTTCCTCTCCCAGCACAGGCTCATCCTGGCCAAGGACGAAAAAGCTTTGTTCTAAATCTACCAGTTCCATGCCTACGACCAATGCTTGAGAACCAAACTATTCTGGTTCTGCTAAATTCCTCCATGCTATATCTTTAGCCTACCAATGTCTTGGTCCATAAGATTCCGACACTTGGAATCTCCCTGCCCCATTTAAGTTTTACTTGACAGTCCCAAGTTCAGAGACAACAGGAAGTAAAGCATGAGTGGCACTGCTGTCCGAGAAAGGCCAGCAACGTTGTGCACCTGCACCAAACCCGTGCCTTGTGGCTGACTTGTTAGAGATGTCCTTTGTAGATCCTAGGGCAGAAGCTGTCAAAAGTCCTGCTTTTCTACGTTCTCCTGTTTATATCTTGCCCATTCCCCATAGTTATTTCCTCTTCAATTACAGCACTATGTTAAATAGCCATTTGTCTTAACTGAAATGCAAAACCTAGGAAAACATGGCAGTGGGGTTTAGCTTGGCTCATCCTGGATGGGCCTCAGACTCGATTTATCTAGACTTTAGTTGTCCTGCTTGAGATGGTCTGAGGTCTAACCTGGGCTGTAAAGTGTAAAAGGCAGGGACTTCCTTCTTGTAGCCATCAACTTCCGAGAGACTTGCCTTTGTTCTCTCCCCAATACCTCCTAACCTCAGGATTTTTGTGTGCTCCTATGGAGAGGATTGGCCATTATGATCTTAAAGAGTAGAAGTACAAAAACCCCTACATGGTTGAGACTTCCTTCTCACTGGAAATTTCCTCTGTGGCTAACTAGAAGTCTCTCTCCTAGAACCCTTTTATGTTGTTTTAAACCTCATACGATAGGAAATGTTTGGTTGTCTACTCACCACCGTAACAGATACCCGTTTTCTCTCTGAATTAAGAGTACTTCCTAGAGGATGGCTCCTAACTGTCCAATCCCACCCTCTGGTTTAGTGCAGGAGATGGGGCTTGCCCTTAGCATGTATTGCTAAATAGCAAAATGGTAAAGCTGACTTTGTTCATAACAAGAATACTGAACCTTCAAGTCAAGGGAAGAACGAAAAGGCAAACAAACGGCAAAGAGCTTCCAGAAAATGTCACTGTCCCATGTAGAAACAAATTACAAATAGGTGAGGTGATTTTAAATATTTGGTAGCCCTGCAGTGACTACACCTGTCCCAAGTATTTGGAAGGGTCCCGAGTGTTCCACCTTTGCAAATGCCACCTCTCCACCTCTCACTGCAACTCACAGAATGTCATCTGGCAATCCCAACCACTTCCTGAGGCTATTAGTATTGACTTTGTTCCTGGGACATAAAATCTGGCCAAGTTCAGTAGCACAAGCTCTCTCAGGAGGCAGAAGGATCTGAGGCATGACAGAACAGAGACCCCATCTAGATCACATGTATGAAATTTCCAGAGGCACCAAGTAGCTCATCACTGTAAAGCTAATGTCAAAGGTGCCTATCAATATCTATAGAATATTAGTGTTACTGCGTTTTGCATTAAAAAGCCTGTGTTCACAAAACAAACAGGTGAGCAGAACCTGGAGAGAAACGCCCCCCAGCCCCCGCTCATGCCACTGTTCTATAGCCAAACACCAATCCAGGTATAGTCTGCAGTAAAGACCACACAAGGCAGCTTTTGGGAACTTTATTTTCCTTCCACCTTTTTTCCCTTTGCTCAGGTGTCTGCAGAGCAGCTCAGGACCACTCAGTGGTGGCTCCAACCCACTCGGTGGCCTGTGCTGTGGGAGCTGCTGACCAGTCCTCAGTGGCTGTCTGCGCACTCCAGTCCTCTGTTAAGGAAGTACAAAAAAAGTCATCAGCTCTAGGAACAGAGTGTAACTTTTCCCAAATCTCCCCAAGAGCAACATGTCAAGACATAATGCATCCACCCTTGCACCCAGAGTCAGAACAGCACACTCATGGCCACTAAAAGCTCATAGCCCACACTGTAAGCTCCCTGGCAGTCTGATGCCCTAGCCTTGTTACGCACCCGTGGGGAACTGCTGGATGGGCACAGAGGGTACCTGCACACCCTCAGACCAGTCAGCCACCTCAGGCTGAGCAGCAGTGAACTCAGGAGCTGGTGCGGTCCATTCACCCTGGAATTCCTCCTTGGTCACAGCCTTCTCAGCAGCAGCCTGTTCCTCCTTCTCAATCTAGTTTTTTAAAAGCACAGAATGGACAAATTTAGCTTCGCTGAACCAGACCAAGGTGCCCCATCCACTTAGTAGCCACTAGCATTTAATAGAGTAAGCCTTACCTCCTCTGGGTCTCTATAGAAGTAAAGATCAGGCATAACCTCCCATGGGTGCTCACGGGAGATAGTACCTCGCATGCGGAGTACTTCCCGAGCCAGCATCCACCACATCAGACCCACTGAATGAGCTCCCTGCAAGGAGGAGGGCAGTCATTAAACACAAGCCAGGCCCCACTCACCTCAGCCGCCCCTTGCCAGGGGCCCCTTTGTACCAAGTCTTAGATTTTTACACACCCACATGGCAGCTCATTACCCCAGGTACAGGAATACACTAGGCACACAATGACCCCTCCTTCCCACCAAACACAACAAACTCTCATAACATTCACTTGAGAGAACACACAGGCCCATAGTTCACACATCAAATTTGTAGCAAAGGTTACTATCAAACCCCACTCACTGGACCAGAGAGGGGTGTTAGCGAAAACCTTGCCACTCGTTTAGCACACTACCTACACTTGTGAGTTCATCGACCAGCATGTGACCTCAACTCCAAGCTCTAACAATGTGCAGGGGTCCGCGAAGGCTTCCCAGTGCCTTCATCAACTCTGTAAGACCAAGTACCTTGTTGTTGCATGGGATGGCGATGTCCACATAGCGCAGGGGAGAGTCTGTGTTACACAGAGCAATGGTGGGCAGGTTGACATAAGAGGCCTCTGTGAGGGGCTGGTGGTCAGCCCTGGGATCAGTCACCACTAGAAGCCGTGGCTCCCTGAAGGCTGCTTGGATCTGATTAGTGAAGGTCCCAGGTGTGAAGCGGCCAGCAATTGGAGTGGCTCCTGTGGCAGCAGCAAACTTGAGCACAGCTCGCTTTGGAGGGAGATTGAGTCAGCATTATCATGCATGCTTTCCCAAGGAAACTGACGATACCCACTTCTAGTCACCTATCAAATACCAAAGCACCAAAGTAGCAGTTTGTTGAAGCATTCATAGGCTAATTGTTAACACTTACATGACCAACTCCTTAGTTTGAGGCACAGATTCCTCTATGAAGCAGGTCACTGTTGGTGACTCATATGCCCCAAGACCCTCACAGGACAGTTATGGGTACACAGCAAACACCTCTGACTTCTGGACAAACTTACCAGAACACAGAGCAAGCACATCATCCCTCCCTTTTCTCTAGTGCATAGTTCTTTTTAACATAGGAGTGGTTTGCTAGTAGTGAATATAGGCACATCACCAGCATACATGGAGGTCTGGTACTGGATCCCTTTGAACTAAACCATGGATGGAACTGATCTGGAGCATCATGAATTGACTCTTCACCAACTCAGCCAGCACATACCAAAAATATTTTCTCAACACTTTGTATCTCTTATTTTACAACCGATATACTCAAGTTAGCAAAGACTCTTAACTTAGCTATTTTGTGGCTGACACTGCCTTTTCCTTAAAGTCAGCAACAATTTCCTCTTAAACACACAGCACTGTCTGCCACACAGACCGAGGTGACAGAGGATTGTTTCCTGCATGGTTTGCCTCCTCAGTCATTGTCCACAGGACTCTGAGAAGTTGTAGGAATATGCAGGTGCGAGCACAAAGCCCAGCTTTATCTCCAACGCTGTGGAAAGGGATTGTACATCACTGGGCAATGCCTATGCTCCCCTATGCCACTAGGACAGAGCCCAGGTAGAGTGACCTCCTGGGTTATCCACGTTGGGTCCTTTGCTATGTACTCCCAATGTATTCTGTGGCTTACTGCCCCCAAACCAAACTCAAGCCCACTCCACAAACCTGGCCAGTGTTCCTGGAGGAGATGACACTGACGTCAGCAGGGTTCTCAATGGCAACAATGGCCCGAGCTGCAAGCAACAGCTTCTCCCAGGTCCTCTTCAGATTTATGATGTAGATACCTAGGCCAGCAAATGGAACTCTTTGAGAGCTTTCCAAGACAGTGTGGCAATCACTCTTCAGACATGGCTGATCAGAGATTTACCCGACTGCCTGAGCACTAGAATTCAAGGTATGAACCACCACAACCGGTGGCAACAAGTGGATTTAAAGTGGGTGTCCCAAACAGGTTTGCTGACCTCATAGCCTTGCAGACACACTGCAGGAAGGCAGTGTACTTATGTGGCAGCGACCACTACCAAACTCCAGTCATAGAGGCAAGCTCTACTGGTGTTAGCGAAAATCCTGCCATAAGTTCAATGTAGCACACTCCCGACACTCAGAAGTTCACTGGCCTAGACTGGCCTCCACTCCGAGCTTTAACAGTGTGCAGGTTCAGTCTGTCTCTTCCCTTCAGTCAGTCATCCATCATGTCCTCTGGCCTCCTTCCCAAACATCCTCTTGGATACAACGCACAAGGTAAGAGTGGTATTCCTCCAAACACCAAACATTCAGTACCAACACTATACACACTAGAACACCAGTCAGGAACTATCAAAAGTGGCAACTAACCATCACTTTTCCGTTTGTAGATGTACTGCTCCATCTGAAAGTCAAGATTAGTGCCACCTAAGTGGGTTCCTGCAGCCAGGAATTTGAGGACATCCTCCTCCTTCATCTGCAGGACATCAAGGGCTCCGGACATTGTGTAAGTTTCCCTTTTAAGTTACGATGGGAACCTAAAAAAGAAATAATTCATTTGTTTTTCTTTTCCTCTGAGACTAGAACCCACGAGATTATCCTGCCTCCCTCCCCAGAGGGGGATTAAAGGCGTATGCCACCAGGCTCGGCACATCAACGGAGTAAAGATGCCTGTATTCTTATTCCTCCGTCTCTTTCAGCTTTTCTAGCCACCTAATCACTAAGTGGCTTTGGCAGCAGTAGAAAAAGCACTAGCATGTACAAAAACTGGCCAGTTGGCCCTTATAGCTTCCACAGGCACACTAAGTAAAAGATATTTATTAAAGGATAGTTTCTTCTCTGTACGATGTGCAAAGACAGCCATGTCTGGGGTGCTTCGGGTTTTGTATTTCCAGACTGACCGGCAGTTCCCGCCCCATCTCTATGCGCCTCAGAAGCACTTTCACCAGCATCTTGCCGACAGGCCCCTCGTGCCTGGTGCGAACCGCAGAAGGGCCTCGGAGTAGCGCCCGCCCCACCTCACCACGGGCTACCACGTGGCGCCGCCGCCGGGAACCAAGCCGCTCCCGCACACACAGCCTCGTCGCCCTCCGCGGCCATCCACGGAGCGGGAAGCTCGAGACCGCGGCGTCGGGTGGCGCTGAAGGCCCCACGCGAGACTCACCAAGAACAACGCCGTATGGACCCGTCCCCGGGTAGCGCGGAAAGGACTGGCGACCGGAAATGACGTCCTTAAATAATCCACAGCCAGCCAATAGCAAAGCAGATTGTTCAAAAAGAGGGCAGAACTTCCGCTCTGGAGAGAGCCTGTGGCGCACGCGCAGATTCGGCAAGCGGGCCCGCGTTAGCTCACGCGCAGAGCGGAAGTTAAAGTGGCCTGCGCCTGCCGGGCTCCAATCGCCGCTTATGCCGCGGTCCGGAAATAGCTGATGGACTGAGGGTAGGAAGCCCGCAGGACAGCCAAGGCTACACAGAGAAACCCTGTCTCGAAAACCCCCCAAAAGAACGAAAGACAGAGACGGGGGCGGAGACGGGGAGAGAAAGAGAGGGGGGGAGGAGAGAAGAAAGAAGAGAAGAGAGAGTGGGGCAGAGAGAGAGTAGAGAAAGAGACAGAGAGAAAGAGAAATCAGGCCTGTGTTAGTAAGTTTGTTCTGTCAAGTGGAATGCTATGCAGCCATTTAAGGATAAATAGGTCCTATGGTACAAAAGATGACGGTCAGTGAAAACAAGGTTACTTTCCCTCACAGGCAGCCTAGGGCATGGGCAGTATACTCTCCCCATTTCTGTGACACTATCAGCACCACAGCTAAGTAAAAAACAGGCTTCCAAAGCCGGGCGGTGGTGGCGCACGCCTTTAATCCCAGCACTTGGGAGGCAGAGGCAGGCGGATTTCTGAGTTCGAGGCCAGCCTGGTCTACCCAGTGAGTTCTAGGACAGCCAGGGCTATACAGAGAAACCCTGTCTCGGAAAAAAAAAAAAAGAAAAAAGAAAAAGAACAGAAAGTGATTGGCGGGTCTGGGAATGAGGATTATGAGTGTGCATGAGCTCTAACGTGGGCAGTGGGGTGGAGGGAGCGGGGTGGAAATGTTCTAAAACTAGTTTAGGGTCATGGCTACACTTTTAGACAGGGTCTCACAAGTGTAGGATGACTGGGCTTCCAGTTTTGTCTCTGGTTCCCAGAGAGGGGATGACAAGCCTGCATCCCACACTGGACCACAGTATTTCCTGTTTGCTCTGATGCTGATAGACCAGATGATAGATCTGATACAGATGAACCCAGAAGCTTGCATTTATTAATTAGCACGACATTCAGCCACACATCCAGGCCCAAACCACCAAACTGTGGGCTTCAAACAAGTACGAAGCCTCTTTGAATACATAAACTAAAGGCACATTTGTTTTCCTTTGGTTTTTCAGACAGGGTTTCTCTGTGGAGCCCTGTCTGACCTAGAATTTGCTCTGTCAAAACAGGCTGGCCTTGAACTCAAGAGATCTTCCAACCTCTGCCTGCTGAGTGCTGGGGTGAAAGGCATGTGCCACCACGTTCAGCTCCAAAGCTGTTTTTAAAAGTTAAGTTTTTAGGGACTTCCATGGCAGGTCAAAAATTAAGTCACCCTAAAGCTACTTTGCTGTGGAGCTCAAGGAGTGAGACATACTGGTTAGGCTTACCAGCCAGATCACTTTTATATGTATAAATAAATACAGGGTTTGATCGTGTAGCCCTGGCTGACCTGGAACTCTCGAGTCCTACCTGCCTCTCCCTCAAGTGCTGGAATTAATGGCTGGATCCTATTTATTTTCTGTATGTGAGGACACCATCGATGTCTTCAGACACACCAGAAGAGGGCATCGGATCCCATTACAGATGGTTGTGAGCCACCATGTGGTTGCTGGGACTTGAACTCAGCACCTCTGGAAGAGCAGTCAGTGCTCTTAACCACTGAGCCATCTCTCCAGCCCCCTCTGCTATGGTGTCTGTTTTTCAAACTGCTGTCAATCAAAGTGCTCTACTGTATTCATTTGAACTCTAATTATGGAAAGTATGAGAACAGCACAGATTACAACAGTACTTCTGAAGCCTCAGAAGGACCGTTCCATTCGTTTTCTGGGGCCTACAGGAGGTTCCCTAGGAACAAAACTAATGCCTGTCTTGGTTTTTTTAGTTCTGTTTTGTTTTTGTCACAGACAGTCTCCACCCTGCTGATGTCTTTATTTAAAAAAAGTATTTATTTATTTGTTTATTGGGTCTGGGTGCTTGCCACAATGCACGGGAGGAAGTGAAGGGACAAACTGCAGCAATTCTTTCCTCCCCTCCTGGGTCCGGCGAGCCAGCGCGGGCCTCTGACAAGCACCTTCCCTTGCTGAGCCATCTCACTGGTCCACCACAGCTCTCTCAGGTCCAATCTTCCCTAACTTGAGACTCTTGCCCTCAGACCTTCTCTGTTGTGGGATTCCTTCGTTACCAGCATTCTAAGGCACCCTGTAATGTAGGCAGGTGGCTGAAACAGCGACCTTGCAGAGGCCTCCTCTCAAGTAGCCTTTTGGGGCAGCCATGGTCAACTTCCACTGATGTAGCACTGATGGGGAGTATGCATGGAGTGACAGGCACTGGCAACTCCACGCCTGAGGCTCCAGCCACCCAGCTACTCTCTCTGAATGCAGGACTAAAGGCAACAGCACGTGTGCCTGGCTCTTCAGACAGCACACTCTTCTGCTGACTCCAGGAGAGTGAGCGACAGCAGCTCATAGCAGGAACCAGCAGGAACCAGCAGGTCTTCCTTTCCCAGCCCTCTGCTCAGGACTTCAGGCCCATCCTGGCCATCATCTCTTCATAGACAGTCCACGCCATGGCGGCCATCAGCGTCCTACGGAGGGCCCGGGGAACACTGCCATGAAAGAAGCCACGCAGCCCATGGTTCTGTGATGGAAACGAGAGAGAAGCCTTTAGAAGGAAAGCAGCAGTGACACCAGCACCAGACAGGTGCTTCTCCACCTTAGACTCCTGTTGAAATGTCATGCTAAACCTATGAACTATGGGCCCAAGGCAATAACCAATGAACCCCCACTTTTACTGTAACTGTGGAGGTCCCACCCCTTTAGATCTGCACTACCTACAGAAACTTCTTAGTTTAAAAAAAGAATATTTAGAGTGGGCAGTGGTAGCGCACACCTTTGATCCTGGCACTCAGGAGGCAAAGGCAAATTCTGAGTTCAAGGCCAGCCTGGTTTATATAACAAGTTCCAGGACAGCAGAACTATGTAATAGAGAAGCCCTGTCTCAAAAAAAGGACATTTAAGAACCAGAAAAACAGATCTTGCTGCCCTTCCAGAGTGTGCTTCCCAACACCCACATGGCAGCTCACAGTCGTCTTTAACTCCAGTACCAGGCAATGTAATATCCTCTTCTAGCCTCTCAGGCACACATGCTCACACATACACACATGCATGCATGCATACATATACACCACAGGCACACATACTCACATACACACATGCATACATACACCACAGGCACACATGCTCACACGTACACACATGCATACATACATATATACATACACCTAGATAAAATTAAAGGGATTTTTAAAAGAACATTACAAAGTTCTTCTGGGGTACCAGCAATTAAAACCAGACTCAGATAGCTAAAAAGCTCTCTGTACTGGGAACTCTCTTAGTTGAAATGTAGGGTTGTGTGTACAGTTTTGGTTGGTGTGTATGTGGTTCTGTTTTTACTGTTCTGGTTCATTTCCTCGATTTGAGATGATCCTGCTTCCACAGATCTCAGAGCTAAGATGACAGGTGTGCACCACTGTTCAGCCAGTTGTACCATTTATACACTGTAAACAAACACCAAGCAGCATACAAAATACAGACAAGGGCTATCTGCCTAACCAGGTATCAGGCTGTCAGAGGTGACATCCTCTGCAGGAGCCATTAATTGCCGAGCCATCGCTGCAGCCCCTGGGAAGGCACAATTCTAATGCTCCCTAATGTTGCTAACACACTGGCCGGGGTATATCCAGCTGCTCAAGACACATCCCCAACCACAGGAGCAGCACACACTCTGCAGCCTTACCTTGAAGATGAGAGTGGCCACTTGGCCAATCCACTGACACTTCACTGGGGAGAGCTGCATATGAGTTTTGATCACATCTGCAGGTTGAGTCACCAGTGAAGCCAGAATGCCAGCAAATACCCCACAGCTGAAATTAACAAGGGGCATCAGAGCAGCATCCAGCTGGGCTGAAACAGAACAGGGGCAGCGTAAGGTTACAAAACTCAGATTCTTCAGACACAGGGTGAAGTGGCAGAGTTACATAGTGTGCTCAGAGCAGACCTGACCAAGGTCTGTGATGTGTCTGGATGATGGTATCTGTCACTGACAGCTGTGTAGCACCTAACTGGAACAATGCAGGTATAGACACCCTCTGACTGGAACAATGCTGGTATGGACACCCTCTAACTGAACAGTGCAGGTGTGGACTTTACCTTGTTACTGATTCTAGATAGGAAAACTTGCATTTTTATCATTAAGAAGATTAAATATATATTTCCATTATTTAAAAATTACTGATTAATTCCAATTTTAAGAGATTTCTCTAACTAATGGGTGGGAATTTTTTTTTACTTAACATGTATTAATTGTACAAGATGGGTCAAGCCTGGTGACTCATCTTAATTCTAGTGCTCCGGAGATGAAGACAGGCTGACCTCTGAAAGTCTGAGGCTAGCCTGGTTGATAACAGTGAATTCCAGGCCAGCCAGGGTGACGGAGTAAGGCTGGGCTTCAAAACAAAAACAAAACACCAACTCTATGTCTCCTTACTGTCTCAAATTTCTGTTGCAAAATGAGGCCGTAGGGTCACACCTGATCCTTGAGGGGAGGAGCCAATCTCCTCATACATTCTAACTGCAGCTGACGAGCAGTCCTGGGGTAGTATGTTCACTTCTGCAGTTGCCCACATACTTTACTGAGTTCAGGTCATCCTGCAGAATGGGTTTCAGGCAACTCTGCTCTGTGTGGAAAGCATTTACCACCTACAGGCTGGCCCGTGTGGTCCCCACCTACAAGCATGGTCCGTGTGTGGTCCACAAGCTCACAGGTGAGAAAAGCCTACAACAAACACCTCAAGTTTACAGTTCTACCTCCACCCAAATGAAGGCCTCAAAAGAACAGGGAATACAGAAAGGGAAGGAGGCGAAAATATTTTTCCTCAAGTCCACAGCTATCAGTGTTCCCAAACTGCTCTGATGGGGAAATCACACCAAGTACACACTGGAAAAACAGACTCGCAGGCTGCACTCCAAAGCTCTGTCCTAGAGTCCCTCAGGTCATGTGTGCGGGAGTGTTGTTGCAGAACCTTGGCAACACACTTGCCTCTCCCCTAGCCTCCCCTCTTCCCTCAGAACACACA